TGAAAAAAAAAATATTTTTATCATTTTTAAACCTTTTGTAAATTTACCTCCAATCATAGCTGTGAACCTCCTCTCTTCTATAAAAAAAACTTGTACCAACATGGGTGAGGGCAAGAATGAACAAACACTGCTGGGATGTTAGGGTTATGTCAGACTTGTTTGATTTCCTTTTTGAGAGTCCTTGTCATAACTTGTACATGTCAAAACAGAACCATCCCAATAAGGTTTGCTATAGCAAGGTTTTACTGTATTTAAAAAAATAACTTTCTTGTATGACAATTAGAACACTTCTTAGTCAATATTTACATGAAAAAGATCGAGAGAACTATATACACCAATACCTCGCTTTGCATCGTTTTGTTTTGCGTTTTTTTTTCGAAGTTGCGTCGCTGCTTAATTTTTACTGATTTTCACTGTGCGTCGTTAGATTTTCGAAGTTGCGTTGTTTTGGATTCGAGTCTTTAATTTATTTTTTTATTTTTTCCTAAAATATGGCAACACCTTTGTTTTTAATTGCGCCTTCACATATTTTCACTTTGTGTCGTTTCAATTTGCGTCGTGTTTTTTTGGAACGTAACCCCGACGCAAAGCGAGGTATGGGTGTATACAATCAGCCAGGTGTTCTTCCCCACCGCGATAGTGTCCTTCTCCAGGCAATGACGGGGTCCTCGATGGTCTGGGCCAGTCCGACCTGGACGAAGTATATGTTGATTCTTGATTTCACCGATGCGGCCAGATCGTCTACTATCAGGCCTGTCCCGAAGATCCAGGACTGGAGGTCAGGGGGCCTTCCTATGGTGTTGAATGCCTCCCGGACGAGAGGCCTGATGTCATGGATTGAGTCATGAAGACAATGTCTTCTTAGTAGAATGTTGAAGTTACTAAAAACATGAGTGTGGATAGAGAGAGGTCTCAAATTTTTGATTGTTTAAACCTTGTAACTTTACAAGGCAGTTTTAGGTAGAAATTTTAAATGGGTAAAAACATTTTTTTTTTTTCTAAAATTTTGTATAAAACTTTACGGATATAAAACCTCTTTTTAAACTAATAGAAACAAATACAGAAACTTATTTATTGAAAGGTATTTCATCTCTCTCACTTTGAAAGTGTTTTTGATTATACATGAGATAGTTTCACACAGTTGCATATGAAGGATTTGCAAACTTCAAACTCTGAGGATAGCATTTTTAAATATACAGTAAAACCTTATTACCTTGTGTTTATAATCTATAATCCAAATTGTACCTTATCACAGTAAAACCTTGTTAAAAACCAATCTGGGATATAGTGAACCTTCCCTTATAACGAACCTGATATAATCCCCATTTTATAATATAGTCAACTATGGCTATAACAAACCTTTTTTTGCTTATCCCTAGTACACGGGGTACAGGCCATGATAATCATGGTGGGTAGTTAGCGACTGCTTTTACTGTAAGCGCACCACATGTCTACACATGTGAAAGCAGTTCGACTTTGCACTTATAAATGTGCCAGAGCCCCATTTGGTTACTTGCACTCGCTGGTGGGGTTGGACTTTTGCAAGAATCGGGGGGCCATTGGAGCATTTTTATATTTTTTAAACAGAAAAAAGTGTCCAATGCGGGAATCGAACCCGGGTCGTAGTGGTTGAAAACCAAACGGTTTAACCAGCCTTCCACCAACCCCCATAACAAACCATGACTATAGTGAACCACAGGTTCAGTTCCATTGGGGTTTGCTTTAGAGGGAGTTTTACTGAATAAATTAGCACCACAATAAGTCTTTAAATATAAGAGGAAAATGTGCTAAGGCATACAATTTGGACTATAGATTAGAACTACTAGGTAAAATGACCAAATCCAAATAAATTAATAGTGTATGACATTTCGGTAACAGCATTGTTACCATCATCAGACAAAAGTACAATGATGGTAACAACGCTGTTACTGAATGCCATACACTCTTTATTTTGGTCTTATTACCTAGTAATTAGGTCTTGTTACCATATGTTTATAAGAGAGAAAGATGATAGCAAGGAAGCCCAAGCTTCCAAAGTGTGTTAAAGAGATCCCTTTATAGTGTTGCACTGGGCTGCGGTTTGGCAGATTCTTCAGTCTTGATTCTGTCCTCAGGCGCGTCTTGCATCTTTCCAGAACGTGTCTCAACCATCCTACAAGGTTAAACCAGTCAATAATAAGACAACTAGATATTTAGGTGGCACCTAGAATATCTCTTTATTTATCACATCAAAGTTTAAAGCAGGTGGTATAGTCAGTGTATAAAAATACAAATGATTTTATAGTACATAATATTTTATAATAATATTCCATTTTATAAAAATAAATAAATATATAATTTCAATTTTAAATATATTAAAAATAATATTATAAATAATTTTAAAAATACACGCATTAATCATGATGCAACACTAGAAAACAAAGATATGAGGCAATTCTCCACTTTCCACAGATTTGAGCTGGTGTAGAGCTGGTAAAGAGAAGTGGGTGACGATGGTTGTGTGGCCCCAGCTATCGCAACAGACTCCTCTACTACCGTTACTTCGATGGAAGGTATTCTGTCCTTGTGGCAGAGTGTGTGAACTTACCTAATGTAACCCACCACTAATGTGTTTGTGTGTGCATGGATTCATTACTAAATATGTGACACACTAATGACATATCTTTTTTTATTTGTCCAAATAAACATAGCAGCTTTGCCAGGACCATCCTACAAAGATTGGCGTCCTGTTAATCAAAGTTAGGGTTAAGTTACTGGATATTTTATCTTTAACGACCAAGTTACATTGATCCCCAGATGAATATTTTCTCTCAAATGATTTTTATCATGACTGAGTGAATTAGAATGTGTCTGTCTTTGTCATTAAGACTGGGAGCACTACTCAGTAGCAGGCCGACTTAGCTCCAAAATGAAATGGCTGCCTCTGACATGAGGAACAGACGCCATGTATAGCCGCTCCTAACATAGAGTACCAACACTGCTCATCCTGTATCCCTGGATTAGGACCCCTTACAGGGTACTATTAGCCGGGCTAGCTGAGTCCAGGTTTTTAGTGAGCTTGTTACTGCTCCCCCTTCTCCATTCGAGCTTGGGACCAAAAAAGGCAGAGTTTATATCTCAAGCTCTACAAACTTGATTCCCTAATATGATTGGGTGTATATAAGAAAGAAGTGATTTTATACAAGGGATTATTAGATTTTTGGAACTTCACTTTTTTGACGTGACAACGTCTTAAATTAGGTTGCGGCTGGGAGTCACTTATGAAAAAGTGTAACGCCCGGTAACGTTACGATGAGTCATCGAACGAGAGTGCTGCGCGCGCAGCGCTAGAGAATTAGGCGCATTGAATCGGCGCATGCTTGTCTCTGTCTTTGTCTTTCTCGAACGTTCTTGGCGTTGGAAAAACAAGAAAGCGTCATAATACAAGTTCACACGTGTGGTTAAAGTATCGTCAGCTGTGTCTGTAGTGAAAATGTGGAGTGCTTAGATTCGTCATTTACAACAACTACAACAATAAAGGTAAATAATTGTACACTGATATTTCATTATCGTAAACTATGATTGATTGATTAATTGTTAGATTGACACAAAAGTTGAGAAACTGAGTTTATAGGTTATGTCATACTATTGATAAATGTTGATAGTGTTAAGTAAATTATTAGTTTAAAATTAATTAATTAATTAATTATTATTTTACAAATTTTAAATAGTTTCAAATTTATTTAGCAAAAATTTGAACCTTCGATCTGAATAAATGTTTTGATTTTCGAATTGATTCTTTAAAATTACAAATATTAAGAAAAAGTGGCAGATATAAGAAAACTTTATTTAAACTGTGTTGAGCAAGAATTTTAACGTCTAATTTAAGTAAATGTTTTAATTTTCAACTTCATCATTTACAATTACAAATTTTATTTAATTTCAAATTTATTTAGCAAAAATTTGAACCTTCGATCTGAATAAGTGTTTTGATTTTCAAATACCAACGCGGCTGGTGGAGTGGCGATCTATCGTAAATTATCATCGACATCTACGGCGGAAGTGTTCCAAGTTGCGATTACAGACGTAACTCGTGTCATTAAAACCAAGGGTGACATGTGCATGACTGAAGTTACTTGCTTCGCCGCTAATACTAGCTTCAAGTTTATACTCGGTGCTGTATATATTCATCCAGGAGCTAGTATGCAGGATATTGGAATGTTACTATGGCAAGGACTCGGTCCGTACATTCACAACAGCCAGTACGTGCCACCGTTCGTGCAAGTTGATTCTAGTATACCGATTCTTCTGTGTGGTGATTTTAACAAAAACGTAAAGCCTGACAACTCGTTTCTTAAATTCATGAAAAATACGTATAATCTTGATTGCGTATCAAACGTTTCTAAGTCAACTACGTTAAAAGGAACAACTATCGACTTGACTTTCGCAAGACACATTACAGCAGAAACACTTCCTTTCATTTCATATTTCTCCTATCATCGTCCTATCCTCAACAAAATCACTCAAATAGGAATTAGTTAAGTTTACATGTACAATGTTTTAGTAAACAAAATATATTTCTATAGTTAAAATTTGTGCAATTCTTATTTTCATTCAATTCCTTGTTCCTATTGTGCAATTTAATTATATTCATATCAATAAATATTCTACCGTTGTCACGTAAAATCTTCGCCCATAAAACCGACTTTACAGGCAACCATTGTTTGTTTATTTGTATAATGTTTATATAGAAAGACTTGGTAGCTCTCTATATACTGATCCTTAATCTGGGAGATTGGAACTTAAGAGGCTGGTGGTGAATGTTATCAGCTGTTACTGATTAGATCTAGCAGCCACTCTCAACTGGAACAAGTGATTTTGGAATATACACAAACTTAAAATGTTGTGTTTAATGGATTCATTGTCTTTATATAAAGATGGCAGCACCATATTGCCTTATATTTATTCAACACCATTATATGGTGTTGGTGGCATTCATTGAAACTAAGCTTCTTCTTTATCTCCTCAATAGCTCAGTTGGCAGAGCAGAGAACTGTATATGTATCAGTGGTTATCCTTAGGTCGCTAGTTCAAATCCGGCTTGAGAGATTTAATCTCCTCATTCAAAAGCCTGTTGAGAATCATGAGCTTTTATAATTAGGATTTTTAAAATTTACCCTCAATGGGTATTATTTCTTACTAGTGTTTTGATAAAATTTAGCTGTTGGTGTATTGAATTCAGATTAGTGGAGAGCATGAAGCATCTTGAGTGGTTCCTCCACTATTAGAAAGAGTAACAAATAGATGACCCTCCCCCGCAGCGGGCGCTTGGCGACACCTAATGATGAGTTTTGCCTTAGAATGCTGGACCCAAAGCATGTAGAAGGCCCAATAATTGATTGAGTAACAAATAGATGATATTTCAAGAGATAGCCCAACTAACCCTGTGTGATGACATTGAGAATGTTGCCCCAGGTTCCTGCAGCCAACAGCAGGGAGCGAAGCACCACCACCAGCTAAGAAGGAAGTGCCTGAAGATGTCCCACCCTCTGAGCCCCCCAACCTGGCCATGATAGACCCTCCCCCACGTCACGGCCCCATCAGGCCCAAACCCCTCACCATCAAGAAGCACCTGGGGGAACAGCCCCCGCGGCTCAAGTCCACCCTCAAGAGGGACCGTACTCCACCACCCCTCCCCTCAGCCTTCCTGTTCCCAGACAAGATCCCGGAGCCCGCCAGCAGTAGCAGCAAGAACCTGGAAGTGGACGGCCTCATCTCCCAGCTGGTGGCTGACATTGAGAAGGCCACAGGGAACCTGGATCTGGATGAGTCCCCAACTTCAGAGACGGAGGAGAGGACAGAAGGGGACGGGGACTCTGGAGCCTTCATGCCCATCACTGGTGAGTCCCACGACACCTCCAAGTTTTTCTAGTAGTAAACTTGTGGTGGATGATATTCATATGCTGAAAAGGTGCCATTCCCTTTTTAAATAATGCATTAAAACAATATATCTTATTGGTGTATAGATAGACATTTTGCCAGGAGGATATTGATCTAATAAAATAGAGGTCGCCGCTCCTGTCAAAATAGATGGTATCAATAGATAGACAAACACAAGGTAATAAGATAGATAGACAAACTTTTATTTTTACAGATTTTGTCTTCTATCTCCGCACAGATTAGGGTCACTACAACATCAGCTTCACCTTTAGCACAAATCCATATAAATGCCACATCTTTATTCCATTGTTGTTGTTGTTGTCGTGTCCAAAGAAGAGTCTCAGATGTCTCCATGCATCTCCAACACAGCAGCAGCAATATCCACTATATTGGGTGTGTAAAGCTGCTGCTCTGGGTCTAAGTCAATTTTCTGCAAGGCTGCGGCCATTGCTGGGCATGAGAATATGTGAATAGGTGTTAGTTCCACACCAGGACAGTTGTTGCATGCTCTATAGGTTCTTGTGCCATCTGGATGTATTGCCATTCCTTTATAGTGTTTTGTTCTAAGTCTTGTTATAGTTTTTGTCATTTTTCTCTCAGAGTCTCAGTTCTCTTTGGGTTATTGTACTTACAGATGGTAGTGTTACAATTTAATAATTTTTCCTTCAGAATGTTATAAAAACTACCCCAGTATCAATGAGGTCCATAGCCTGATGAAATCCATGGTATGCAATTCAGCTATTTGAATTGGCACAAAGTTGTACTTGTGAGGAATTTATTGGTCTGAATCCATGTGAGTTGCATATAGAGAGAAACCAAGAAAACAGTTGGTTGGCATTTTAAATGGAAGAGATACCTTTTTTATGTACCACTGTGGTAAGACCCAGTGGTCCTAACACTGTCAAACTTCTTGTTTGTCAATCACTTGCTGCTCTATATATTCCTGGCTGTGGCAATGAGTGGTGGTAGAAGTTCATCAAGAAGTTTCATTTAGATGGAGATTCCATCATGACTGGGTGAAATAGGATGTGTCTGCCTTTTTTCTTATGACTGGGAGCACTACTCAGTGGCAGTCCGACTTAGCTCCAAAAGAAATGGCCGCCTTTGACATGAGGAACAGATGCCATGTGCAGCCGCTCCTAACATGGAGTACAGACGCTGCTTATCCTGTATCCCTGGATCAGGAGCCCTCACAGGGTACTATCAGTTGGGCCAGCTGAGCCCAGGTTTTTTTAGCAAGCTTGTTACTGCTCCCCCTCCTCTTTTTTAATCCGGGCTTGGGACTGGCAAAGGTGGAGATTGAAAGCTGAGAACAGCTTGTGGGGAAGCATCTTGAAAGGCTGATAACTGAAGAAAAATCTACTTAAGATTGTCATTTGTGGTCTATATACCTAGCTGCAAGTGGAAGATATCAATCATTACCTTTATTAAGACTTTTACCCCTCTATACAGATTTTCTTTTTAGAGATACAGGAAAAAGAAGTGCCACAAAAAGAGGGAGAAAGAAATTCAAAATTACTAAGTTCTATGATAAATATGTACAATTGGGAAGGCATAACTTTGTTAATTTTAGATATTCTCCATAGAACTTCTCTTATCTTTCCTCTTTTTATTATAACAAAAACAGTGGTACACGTGGAAATTTGCATATATATTACATATATACAGTAAAACCTGTCTTGGTAATTTCCATTTGGTTCCAAGCAAAATACACTCGCAAGGCAAGTCGATCTTGAAGCATGTTGAATATAAAAATTGGTTACAAAATAACCCTTAAATAATTCTTTTTTAAAATAAAAATTCAATGCACTTAACATCAGATATTCAACACAATCAGCTATTAGGGATATAAAAACATCTAAAGGCAAATGTAGAATCAGGATCGAGATGCCTAAGAAAATTAAATTATTAGAAACAAAAATGTTTCCCACTAAAAATGCACTCTTAAGACAGGAAAATTTCCTAAACACGTGACCCCCAAGACAGGTTTTATTGCATACAGTAGAACCTCTCTCTGTAAAGACGACACTTAGTTACAGTGCCAAAGTGTCCTTTAGGCATCATCTTACTGGAGAGTTGCTAATTAGTAAAGATGGGGTAATATTGGAGATGAAAAGTGTCCTCAGTTTTAGAGGTGTCCTCTAACAAGAGTGTCATCTCACTGTATATATACAGTAAAACATCCATGAGAAGACACCTGCACTAGCAGACACCTCTCTAAAAAGGACAGTTTTCATTTGCAAAATGATCATTTATACTATTTAGCAACTTTCCGGTAGGAGGACACCTCTCCCTAAGGATACTTTGTTGTTGTTGTTTCTTATCCTCTTGTGTAAAGATTACACAAATTCCATGAGTTCATGCTCCTCGAGCTGTTTTATGATAAGCAGCGGCCTCTCCCAAAGGTCCTGTTTAGTGCATCTAATGCAAGCCAAAATGTGTTCTGGGGCTGCAGGTGCCAAGCTACATTTTGGGCAAGTGGGGTAGATACTTTAGCTCTGCAATTAGGTGTCCTTTTACAGGGAGGTAGTTCTACTGTATGTATATGTGTGAAGTGGTAGTAAGACAGAACGGGTGTGGCAGTCACCACCATTCAGACTCCAGGAGATGATGTCCCAAGGAAGAGCAACCTGAAGACAGAAAAGAGCTTCAAGTCTTCCTCCCGTAGGGTGAGCTTTGATCCTGTAGCCCTGCTCCTGGATGCTGCCTTGGAGGGAGAGCTCAACCTGGTGATGAAGACAGCGGAGGACGTAAGTTCCTGTCACTGGATATTTCCTTCCTTGTGGGGGGGGTTCTACATGGCCAGCCAGGAGGTTTGTGGGTCATTGCTGGCACGCCTCATTAGACTGGGAGCTCCCAAAATACATTAGGTGGTGGCCCCCTCCCTTCTTTTTCTTGGTCGGTCAACTGTACAATGACTCAGATAATTACCAACCTCAGAGGTGAATGGCTAGGAAAAATATTTCATAGCTATCTTTTTTTTTTTTTGGTGAAAATTTGATTTTTTTAATCTAGAGAGAGAAATGAGAAAGAACATTATTAGGGAAAATCTATTCTTTTGTGTTTCTATGATAGATCGTTGATTAGGAATTTTTTAAAGAATAAAATAATCTCTCTTTTTCAATGATCATCTCTTTATTATTTGAAAACTATTGTTATGGGGATTTTTTTAAAAGGATTTATTCCTAAAGAAATGAATGTGTTCCACAAAACGATACAAATCCTATTTTGTCACTGTATTGCTTGCTAGGCTAATCTTACATGTAAACCTTCCTAATGTAGTGGTTTACCTTGTAGCTTTTTTATTATAGGTTGAAGAGATTAACAAGATACTTTAGACTACACTAATATATACTCACGGATAAAACTTGAAGAAGTTGTAATGTTTAGCATGTATATCGGGATTCAGACAATAACTCATAAAGATATTTGATACACAGTGTCCTTTATTGAAGACACACACACACACACACACAAAAGCCTTTATTAAGACACACAGGTCTTACAGAGGATTCTCCTTGGGGTTACAAGACGGAGAAACCTATGAAAGTGGGAAATATACAAAGGGGTAAAAATGGAGAAAGATTATATACACATGGTAAATATATACAGATTATTATTTTTGAATAATCCTATGGAAAATAAGAAAAAAAAATTGGAAATATGGATGGGAGAAGTGGAGAGCGAAAAGAGGAAAGAAAACAGGTATTTACATATGGAACATTTATTGAAGACACAAGATAATCAAGTGTGAACAAAATTACAGATACCAAAGACTTCACTTCACAAAGGTAATAAGACCAAATCCAAATAAATAAATAGTGTGTGATGTTTCGGTAACAGTGTTGTTACCATCTTCCTATTTCCACTTTTTTCACTTCCTTAAGTTTTGTCCATGGGTGTATTTCACTGATATAATATCATCCCTTTCCAGTTTTCCTTCACTCTGTTGTTGTTGTTTCTTATCGGCTTATGTAAAGATTACACAAATTCCATGAGTTGATGCCCCCAAGCTTCCTTCACTCTACAATAACTGTTAGCACGTTTTCTTTGAAGTTTCTTCTAGAAAGAACGAGCTGACTCAATTCGATTTATTTCAAACAACAAAAGATAATTACATTACGATTTAATGCGATTTAGTTGTATTTATAACACAAAAGAAAACAGAA